CGACATCACAGCTCTATGTACCGCAATTTTTGACGAAGTTAATCAACAAGGACCGGAATCCTACCCTGGGGCACTTCACCTGCAGAGGTCGCCGGACCTGAGACCCTTTCACTCAATTTTTTCAACGGTGCATGCGGCATGCGCTCGTTTTTCCCTTGAAGCTCTTGGTAAGTAAAATCCATCAGAAAGTGTGATCAAATAACGGCTGGTGACCTTCCATGACCTAGCATGACCTTTTGAGTGACCACCGATGACATGACCACTGACGGCTAGCCATTAGCTGCACCCTGCCCGTTGCATATGGATCAGGTGGTGATGTCATGATTCTGAAATTATATTGCAGTTTTGGCGCACTTGTCTGAGCAGAAAACATTCCCACTTTTCCTCCATGACTATATGATGATGAAGCCATGAAGCTGACCAGACGCAAGATCGAAAATTTGAAAGTACGAAACGTAAGTAGTTGGCACTGCTACTCATACCTAAGCAATTCGCAGCTTGTAGGAAACCAGCTTTGAGTTGGCAAGACTGCAAATTTTGATTTAGAGGCAAGGATGCTTGAAAAGGTGATCGATCTTATAGTTGTCCTATGATAAGTTTGGAAACGGGATGCACCATTCGATGTGTTTTGGGCTTTGCCAAGTTTCGCGGCGTTACGTGCCTCGTTTTTTTTTTTTTTGCATACACGATCAGTATCTACTTTTGGGATTCTCAGTCAGGCAAGCCCCCGTCCCCGTCCCCCCCTATCGAAAACCCGTGGCGCCGCCCCTGGCTCGACGCAATGGCACAACTGTTCGGTTCGCCGAGTGAGTTGTTACACTTTACAGGGCCAATGATTCATGTTACATGTTAATGCTGCATTGTTGCATTGGTATGACCTCACCCGTGCTTCCGTGCTGGATGTGGCCGGCGGGTTGGCTGTGCGAAGCGATGTCAGCAGAGCACATGGGATGATGAGAGTCGACCAAGAGCAGTACTCGACCAATGCCTTACTTCCTACCTGCATGCCCTTATGCCGTTCGTGTTGGCAGCAGTGCACACCCATACTCGCTCTAATGGGTGCCATAAATACATACCTGTAAAATGAGCAGAGTGCTGTGTGAACAAGAGCGATATCCGTCTCATCTCAATAGCCGAAGCGAGTTCCGGTTGTCACATCACGGTAACAATAGCATGATTTGGCATTAACATGTTCATCACCCCACAAAAACTGAGCACAAACAAATTGGTGCAGTGTGACCTCCCGCTGTGGTGTGGCTCGCGCAGCTACCTTTCACCCTGCGCTCGCGGCTGGCAGCTCGCAACAAAAGGGGCACCATCCGATGACAGATGAGCCCGGCGCCCTGTCGTGACGCCGCCCGCATCCCGCGGCCGCCGCCGCCGACGCGACCGCTGCCGACGCGAAAATTGAATGCCATTACGGCCATTAGAAGGCGGCGAATCTCATCAGGAGGCTGTTGGCGGCGGCTGGCTGCACCTTGTGGCGGTCCAATTAGGGCCGGCCACCGGCCGCCAGATTGCAGCATTATCCCGACATTAGGGCGGCGGTGGCCGGTCAGCTGGGCGGCGAGGAGCGCTCGTGGGGCTCACTGGTTCAGTGAGAAGGGGATAGTTTTCCTCAGAGGAGACACACAGGCACAGTGAGGAGAAGACTGTCCCCTCTGACAATCAGACACGGCGGCGCGGGCAGACAGGGACGGTCCTTCCCGGACAATCAGACATACGGGCGCGGTAAGAAGGGGATAGTTCTCTCGGACGATCAGACATGCCGGCGCGGTTGGCGGAGGAGAACCTCCCCTCTGAGAGTGCATGGATTAGGTATTAGGAATACTTCATCCATGGAGAGTGTGACGTGCCGACTTGGCCTGTCGGCGGGACTGGCGAGGCTTTTTCCAGACAGCGCGGTGGGACGCGTCGGCCGAATCGGCTTATCGAGGACGTCTTAGTGCCGAATTCGTCCTGTTATAAGATGAACACCACCTCCTCTACTCTCCCATTCGCCGTACTGCTTCTAATCTGTCCTCTCTTGTCCGTCGGGTCATCCCTGAGCCAACCTATCCTTTGTCTGATTACTCACCACGGACCACTGAGTTGTCACGTGGCTGCAGTTGCGTGCTGAAGTCGATCTGGTGGATGAGTCGGTAGGTGGAGGTGGTCGTCAGTGACATCTGCTTCCATCAGCCGTCACCCGTGACCGGTAACGCTGGCTGACCTTGGCCACACATCGATTATACCACTGCCGGCTGACCGGCACAGTTAAGGACCGGGACATGTCAGAGTGCTGCCCTAGCCGTATCGAATGGTCTCCACTAAAACAGCTCCTCGTGGCTATCGCACTTTCGCCGGTAGAAACTGGAAGGGAGCGGTAGCCAGACCAGTAGGTAGTTGTTGACATGGCAAAAGTTAATTTCAATAAATGTGCTCAAGCTTCCACTCGCTTGTATTACACCCGCTTGTATTCACTCGCTAAGAACGCTCATGATAAAATCGTCAAAAGAGACGATTTCGTAACGTTACTAATTTTTGTTTGTCGCACAAATTCCTTGTGCGAGCATATAGACGTTTTGAATTAAAATGATGAGTGTTCACTTTCAGCCAAAAACTAGCCCGAAGCGTTGTATCACATTCCAGCAGTGCCTGTTTTCCGTCTGTTTTCACAACGGAAGCGTGCCGATGCGGATTCCGCACAGTTGGCTGCATCCTGTGCGTAGTGCGGACGGGGCAGAGAACAACGGGCACCCACCCGGCCCGCGCCCGCTCTCCCTGGGTCGCGCCGCTCGGGTCTCTGAGCCCAGAGAACCCCATGGGGTTATGGACGGGCAGACGGCCGACACTCGATAGCTCCCAGCTCGACGGGGCACGATGAAGGTATCAGCGCTCGGGGACGATCGGCCCGACCGCCGATTTCACGCCCGGTGACTGGATTAAAATAGCGCTGGACGGCCCGCTGGATAGGAGGGGGACATAAGCGGATTTCTCCCTGTGAGTGGTGTCGGGAGTGGATTTCGGCTGCGGTGTGTCGGCGGGTGGATTTCGGTGCCGGGGTGCAGCCGGAAGTGGTGGCGCGGGCCACGGCGCGCCGCGGAGACCTCTGAGTGACGGCTACTGATCGGTGACGCGTCCCGAGCGTCTAATTACACCAGCGGGGTATCTCGACGTGGTCCGGTAATCCGTGCCGGCCGCGCTCCGACCGCAGCCGCTGAGCGGTCGATGGCTCTCCTCCGACCACTGCACAGGACGGCCGGCAGCCGGCAGCCACCCTGTGCCCAACTGACGGCCGAATCTCATCCATTTAGCGCGAGAAATGACGATGGGGGACCAGGTGGCGGCGCTGAGGGGACGATCCGAGGACACCCGTCGCCGAGTACATGTTATTCGCCGGCTTAGAGAGCGCCAGCGGGTGGTGGGATTGGCGGGGCGTGAGCCTGAGTGACGGCTGAGGAGGCCGGCAGAGCGAGCGAGCACGTCATCACCCGGCGGGTCACTGACAGAGGACACGCGGACGGATCAATCATCAGACACTCTGGCCAGAGCTGACCCGAGCGGCAGACTGACTGACCCCGCCGGCAAACCCGCTGACGAGTCGGGCACTCTGACTCGACCGGCGGGCAGACTGACCGAACGACGAGCAAATTGACTCAGTGCACTCGCGCACGAGTTGGACATCTGACCCGACCGGCCGCGACGGAGAGACTGACCCGGCCAACGGACACACTGACCCGAGCTGACCCGACAGGCGGGGACATTGACCTGTCGGACTCATTGACCCGACCGGTGAATATTCTGACCCAGCGGACACATTAACCCGACCTCCGGACGTGACTTGAGTGACGGGCACATCGATCCGATCGATCGACTGACGAGCATGTTAACCTCACTGGAAGCTGGTGGACATGGTGCTTTGTCCGACTGACCCGAGTAATTGAGCCAGCGGACTCCTGACCCTACAGACTAAACAAACTATCCCATGAGTCCCGGCGCTGGATATTTACTCAGCTAAACAGTCTGCCAAGCTCAGTTGAAACAGCTCATGTCGAAGGAGCTGGCCACATTTTGTCATGATCTCGAGAGGATTCAAACGCGAGGCATGGTAACCCATAACGTACGCCGTAAATAGTGGGAGACTGCCATTTCTTGCTTGCGTCCTGAAAGTCATTACGCTTTGAGACGCATTTCAAGAATGACGAGACATTGCTCCTTCTGACAAGCATCTTTAAATTATAAGTTGTTGGAAAGGTTAGTGATCATTAGTGACAGGTGATTTTAGAATCTTGCTGTGAATACTTAGCACCTTGACGATTCCGGACATTGAGCCGGTCCTATCCATTATCCGGCGATCTCACTCACCTGACACGTCTGTCTGCAGAAGTAGCCGCCAACACGAGCCGTGAACCCGCGACTAGCCAATATCCTCCGTCCATCACAGCACGAGAGCTTAGCGGCGCGTGCTCTCCGCCGGATCGGGACGTGCCCTCCCCCCCCCGGAACGACGAGGAAAATCGGCCCGTGCGCAACCCTCCTCGGAACGGCGCAGGATTAGAGAAGGGATACACACACCTTAACAGCCACCTTGCGAAACAAGACGTCCAGCGATATTGAGCTCTGGAAGGCTGCTGAAGCTCAGCCGACAAATCACCTCGCATTGGTTTCACGGCACAGGGAAGTTTAGCGTGATCGCTAATGCTCCTAAGGCCTACCTCTTTCGCGTATGACCTAATGTAATGTGCTAATGCTGAAATTGAGTTGCGTAGACTGCGAGTGCGAGTACGATAAAGGCTGAAATAGGGAGATAACGAAAATTTAAAAGGATAGCGTACCTATCCTTGTTGTCGGCCGCTTGAATGGTGGACGCTAAAAGTTAGATAATGTTTTAATTACAGTATTTAACTTTTCTAGTTCTGCTTTGCACACTAACGATTCGCTTCATGGATGATTGCAGAATTTTAAAGTCTAGCATAGTGTGTTACAACAAAGCCACAACTTGAACTGAAACACATGGCTCCCAGTTTAGCAGTATATTGTCATTGATAGCTATGCCTATGTCGACGGCTATATGCAGCCACAGTTTCTGCACGTATGCATGTATGTATGTACATCGTTTCGGTCTGGCGCGCCTGTGGGCGGCGCTGTACCGTTACATAAATACACCTCACAACATGGAGTCCGTCGCGGCGCGGGCGGCGGTGCGGCGCGCAGGTGCGAGTGCCGGGAGGCGACTAGTGAGGGGGGAGGGGGCGCGACGCCGGCTACCACCGGCCCGGCGACACTCAGGGTCCGCCCGTGGGCCCACCTAACAACCATCGCCGCCAATATAGGAACTGATAACACAACGAATTAACCACAAACAGTCGCTCAGTCATGCAGAAGTCGCGCACATCTAACATGTCTAATCCATCGCGGATTTAGTCAAATTATAGATATCAGAAATACAGGCACAGAGTTACAGGAACTGAGAAAGGAACTGGCCAGCCCTAGCTTCAATGTGTAGAGACTATTGTCACTGGCGAAGCAGTGAGTGTCCACGCTAGAAGCGAGCGACTAGTCAACTGCTGGCGAAAACTCGGTCTGATAGGACATTACGACCGGCATTATCCGCCTACAACTCGCCACTGAGAGTACAGTTAGTAACTATATTTCAACATAATTCTGTTCATTAGCCACAATTGTGACATGGACGTTAGGACAGAAAGGAACTTGATGCGAGAAGTCATGGAAGACGTTACCACTCTCGAACTCAGACTTACATTTGCATAGGGAAGACTACGACAACGGTGCATCGGGAGCTTAGCAAAACGTAACCTTTCTTCTTAGGCTAACGTCACACCTAATGGAAAAAATATACCCGAGACAGAAAAGGAATATCTCGGCAAAAAAGATGTAAAAATAATGGCAGGCATAGACGAGCAGCATAGCAGAGGACATTGAAATTAATTAATGTGACACACGCACCGGAAAAGTGACTGACAAGGGGAGATCTTTACGGGGTCTATGTTGCTGCGAGGCGCGTCCGGTAAGCTATTACACACAATCGCACACACTCACAACTAGTTATCACATGAAAACGCACGTAACACGGCTGCACGGGAGCTGAACAGAACGGGACCAAAGAGGGTTGTAAAAGCCAATCAATCGGACGGCGGATGGGCCGAACAGATGGCGGCAGCACCAGCATCCGTCACCTTCTGTCACAATTGCACCTTGTGTTGGCATCAATTTTTGCAAAGTGAATAATAATTCATCGAATGAGGCGTTGGCCAGCTCTGCCCAGCCGCACGATTGCCACCTGGTTCTCTTTCATCCCCGGCTCAAACAGACAGTGGATCGCCGACGATCGTCTGCTCACCATTCTGTCAACTCACGGCTGGTTCTGTCAACAAAACGGCCCCATATAACTGAGTACCGGCCCTTCGGCACTGGAGCTATGCCAAAACAGTTAATATCTAATTTTTAATAAGCTCCATCCAAACTAAATTATCTCTTATCGCGGTGTCCCTTTCAGACATGCTCATTGCTCGCTACCACTCACACTGCACAAGAACATAACTGACATTTCGATACATGCATACTTATTACAAATAGAGCCAGCTACCTCATTTTTCTCTCTCTCTCTCTCCCTACCTCATTCTCTCTCATACTCTCTCTCTCTCTTTCTCTCTCTCTCTCTCCCTCTCTCTTTCTTTCTCTTTCCTCTCCGCTTTTTCGAAGACCGCGTCTTTGAGAGATGCCCGCCGGGATGGGAAGCTGGCACCGTCAGCCAGCTCGAGTGCCATCCGCTGCGGCGCCGCTGCCTCTGCTGTCTGCTGCTGCCCTGAGGCACACCAGCTTTACCAGCAGCTAGGTCACGACCGGGGCTCGTGGGGCGCGCCTGGCGGCGGCGGCGGCGGTGGAAAGTGGTGGCCCGGCGGGAACAGGAGGTGGTGAGACAGCAGCCCGAGCTGGGGATGGAACGGCAGCGGCGCCGGCAGGCCCAGCGAGCCGGCCGCAGAGCTGCCCAGACCGAGCACGGACGGCGCGAACGGGAAGTGGTGTGCCAGCGAGATGGCCGGGTACGGGAACCGCGGCAGCGTCAGCGCGGCCGGCACGTCCGACGGCGCCGCCTTGGAGACGGGCGGCGACTCGGCGGCGCGGCTGGCGGCCGGCGAGCCCCCCACGTTCAGTTCCGGAGAGCTGCGCGGCGAGCCGGCCTCGGGCGAGGCGCGCTCTGAGCGCTCCGTGATGTCCAGGTCGTCGTCGGACGGCGCGTCGGCGGCTGCCGGTGACGACGGGGACTCGGACCGCAGCCGGGACGCGGCCGCCTCGTCGCCAGAGCCGCCGGCCTCGTCGCCGGAGGCGGTGGACTCGGCCCGGCCCGGCACACGAGCCGCCTTGTACTGCTGACTGTTCATCCTGAAACAGAGGGAGATGGACGGTGTCACCCCAAAGACGACACAGCTCATGAAGTAGACACAACGTGCCATTGTTATGACTGCATCGTCGTGCCATGTATAACTGCACTTGTCGGGATGTATAAATCATATTCACGTAGCGTCGCTGACATGGAGCTTATGGCCGATCTAAGCCTCATTTGATTTAGGATAAATTGCGGCAAGCGCCTTATGCCAGTCTAGTTCGAACCTCTGCTCACTCATGCCGTGGATCCCGTAGTGACAGGATAGCCCCGGACGACTCGCCCGTTTGGGGTCAATATGAACGCACACACCCATATTGTTACACCCTTACACCGCGGCCGACGTGAAGCGGCCGTCGTCGTCGTCGGCGCGTCGGTCGACGACCATCGACCCGACATCGTCACCGATTGGTGTACAATGAGCGGCACCGCCCCGCGCGCCGACGATAACCGGCAAATGGAGCGGCGGCCGCCCCGCCCCGCCCGTCGGCACCGGCGCGGCAGCCGACCCCGCGCCAGCTGTGTGTATGTAGAATATGTAGACCCCGTTCAGCACACCTGTACCGCAGACCCGCCGGGACCGGGCCGGGGTCGCTAAGAGCGCCAGAGACCGGGGTCGCTGAGGACGGCACGGCACTCGCTGACATGCTACATACTACACGCAGTCATATATTTTTATGTAGGGAAGTATGTGATGGGAAGTATGATGTGATATAAGTATGTTATACACTGGCATACCTTTGACAGCCTGCATTAGATCTCAGACTCATATGAATGTATTGGGATCTCTGATATAATTGACGTTTAGGTCCCCGCGGTGCCCGCCGAGAGCTGAAACAATTGCCACTTAGCGCCATTGTCCGTGTCCGTGGTACTGCAGTAGCGGGCGGCACTCTGCAGCTCGAGTACCGGCAACATCCGCCCGCCGGACTCGGCGGCGTGCAGCTGCCGCGGCGCGACACCCTGATTCATGACTCTATATCCACTGAGTACGGGCGACGCCGCCATTAGCGGCAATGATGGGCGAAATGTGCTGCGACAAGCGACACGCCAGCCAGCGCCGGCCGCGCCGCGGCTGGGGACGGTCGGGTAGCCAGACCGCGGGGTGAGCGCGGCGCACGGCCGACCGAGAGCAGTACTGGTCAATGATCATGGACCATGGTCCCGCTGTGCTGCACAGACCGCTCAACACCACTCTCCGGCTTTCGTTCGTTTCTACCTCCTAAACGGTATGCTAAGAGGCCCAGGTAAAATAACCGCTCTCATGGTGGATAAATGGCAAACACTACCATGCAAATATGAAGATGGGCCGCTCACACAATCCACTTACAGGAAACGTAGTGAGAAATATAAACGATTCGATATATCTCTATCATCTCTGCTTTGTCATCACTGAGGCACATCGGAGCGAGGTCTATGCTTCTCCGTTTACATGGATGACCACCGTAGATGCCGCTGTCTCAGACCAGTGCATAGACCTGACTATCTTAAATGACCTAATTGCCTATGGCGATTGGCCGGAGTAACATTGTTATCAGTGGGAGGCAGTGAAGTCTGGCGATGAATTAGACAGTTCTCCCACCTCCCGACAGCTGGTCGAACAGGCAGACACACGCAGCCAGCTCGATCAGACTGGGGCGAGTGGACTGTTAGGTCAGACAGTTGGACAGTTAGAGGCTCTGACAGTCGAACAGTCGATCCGACAGTTACCCGCGGGCATCCCAGACAGTCCGTCGACCGCTCGGGCAGTTGGTCGGGCATTTTAGCAGTAAAGGACTCGGAGAGCCGAAAGGGCAGTGAAGCACTGACAACCCAGCCAGCTCGCCGATCGTTCGGACAAACTGGTCGGACATTTTGGCAGTAAATCAGACAGTTCACCGATCGTCAGACAGTCGGCTGGACAGTTTGACACGACATCCCAGACAGTCCGTCGATCGTTCGGACAGCCCGGCCGGACATTTCCACAGTAAGTCAGACAGTTCACCGATCGGTCAGACAGTCGGCCCGACGCCCGGACGGACGGCTCGGTGGCGCGCTGCCATGTAATCCCCTCTCTGAAGGGCCATAGGGGCGGCCAACCGGCGTGGAGCCGACAAGCCGACACTTCACGGGCTTCTGACCGCGAGTCAGTCTCCCCGCTGTCCGGAGCTGACTGCAGCAGCGCTCTGCACCAATGGACTAGACAGATGACCCCTGTAGGTCGGCGGGGCGAAACGGGTACCCATTTACTCGTATGTAACTTTAGGAACTTATTGAGGAAGGGTATTGAAGGGGACTGTTCTGTGTCCACCAATATTACGTGTTTCACATGATATTTAGCCAAGCCGCTGCTCAATTCCCTTTATGGAATCAAGACTTTTTGTAAAAAGATAACATTTCGTATGTGTCCCCAGGCAGGCTTTCCAGTTGCGACCTGAAAGAGTAGCGCTGTTACGATTTATCATGTGATGTTTCTGCGCAGAATACGAATATTTCCGCCAAGTATTGAATTTGAAATCAGTAGGTCTGGGAAAATGACTTGACCTCCAGGCAAACAGCTTGTTTCGTTCCTAGCTTGCTCACACATTTTTATGATCACTGATCAGTTTGCGTGGTGAAATTATTTCCATTAATTTTTTTTTATAGATAATCCTCACTTCAGAAAACACATCTACTGCAACCATCGAGCAGCTAACGCGTCGAGTCAAACACTTCTCATACCTACATTTAAATAATTGATATTGCAAAGCGCACACGCTTAATTTCAATTTCAACCATTCGACATGACATGATGGCGTGTAGGTAGGGACTCGGAGGAAGGGACAGGGGGTAAAGCTAGTAGTGTGGTGTCAACATTCGGTAAGGCTCAAAGACCTGCCTCGCGCGGCGTTTCAGCCGCGATACTAGTATCGGCACCACCATCGGCCGGGCTGAAGGAGCGGCAGCCATCGAGACCCGGAGTCCACTCTTGGCTGGCCCAGGGGGACCAGCGCGTCATCCACCATGCCTGGTGAGTTTAGTGCACACTGCTCGAGCGGGGCCCGAGCGGCGACCGCGGAGGCTGCCGGAACCTTCACTAGCGGCGGCGGTACGGTGGGACGGGCTCCAGCCGGCCCGGCCCGGCCCTCGGCCCTACTGGCCCACCGTCTCCCTGAGACAGGAAGCAGACACGGCGGAACCAATGATAGAGGGGAAAGGAGTGGGGACGGAGGGTGGCGGGGACGGTACAGCGCCCCTGACGGTCCTGTACCAGACTCAGAACAGCTTTTACCAGCAGCAGTTTGCCACGTGCCTCATTTATCAGCTGTTGGCACTATTTGCGCTGTTGGCACTTCTATATCGCTCTCGGCTGTCATGCATCCAGATCATGTGTTGGCACAAAGTCCTGTACCGATCTAAGCTGTTGGAAGTACAGTACCGTGTACCGGACCCAGCTGTTAATAGTGCAGTCCTGTACTTACCACCGAAGCCAGCTATTAGTATTGTATGTACATATGTACATACTTCTGTACGGGCCTCAGCTGTTGGCAGTACAGTCCTGTACCGGCCTCAGCTGTTGGTAGTGTACTTCTGTACGGGCCTCAGCTGTTGATAGTTCAGTCCTGTACCGGCCTCAGCTGTTGGTAGTGTACTTGTGCACCGGCCTCAGCTGTTGATAGTTCTGTCCTGTACCGGCCCCGGCTCACAGCTGGTGGCAGAGGTCCGGGGGCCGGCACGGGCTCGCGGCCGGTCCTTCCATTCAGCACCCTCCTCATTCCCAAGTGCCAAATTACAGCATATCTAGCGGCTGAATTGATGCGTGTCAATCACGCCGGTCTACCACTCGCTCAATGAATACCATTGAGCGACACCGGCCGGCTGGCAGCGATACAGGGCCGCGCCCTAATCCCCCGCTCCGAGACCGACACTTTTGTGACGCGGCTGCGGCGATATGCGCCGCATTGTGCGCCATTCGGCAAAACGGCGGATTACGGCGCGTCGCGGCGAGCGGCGGCGGCGTGCCATCGAGCGCGCCGCAGTGCCCCCGCTGCCCCTCTCCCGCCCCGAGAGGCTTCTGAAGAGGCTTTGCTCAGATCGGCGTGCGTGTGTTTATCTACACGGATCGGTGGTGCGAGAGAGGGAGAGAGCGAGCGGCGGTGGCCAGCGTGGGCTCGACAGCGACCACACCATGGCCTCTGCCCGGGCAGGATGAGCCAGGATGAGCGACTGTCGAATGGGCGACAGTGGAGCGAGAACAATATAGAGGTGATGGCTGATAGGTAGATAGAGTATAGGTATGGTGATAATGACAGTTATAGGGTCCATCCCTAATTTGTTTTCGCATTGAATGTAAAACATTTACTACCACAACGGAGTCAGGAAACCCTTATTGCTTCAGTTTACGCAAAATATTATAATAATCCATCGAAAGTAGAGAGAATGATGTGATCATAGATATCAAAGGATTTTATTTTCAGATGTGATCGGTGATCTGTCACTGTTATTTGCCTCCAATTCATCAACAAGCAAGTCCGCAAAGGTCATGCGTTCCTCGGATCCTATACCGGATACCCCATTTCAATCTACTCTTCAGAGTAGACGGACGCTGCTACCGACACCCCCAATCTCATTGTGGCACTTCTCGTCATGAAAGCTCCCGACTGGCGCTCTTCCGGTGTGGGTAAAAACTGCATTCGGCTCCCCTCGAACTGAGCAGGACTGAGGGTCGGCATGGCACAGACAGACAGACAGACAGACAGACTGACTGACAGACGGCTTGTCACGGGCAGTCCCGTCCCTCAAGTCACATCATGCATGGGTTAAGTACGGTTTAACGATGTATGCTCTTCAGCGAACGCTCGCGTCGCATTGACAACTCGGAAAGAGCCATGCTTTGAGCTGGCGATGCCCACTACCTTGTGCTAGATTGAGGCTGTGCATTTTGTGAAAACCAGAAACCAGCACGGCAAAATTCACGAACTGCTTGTTTATTGTATGTATGTACGGGCTGAGAAGTATAGCATTTGTCTTGGACTTTTAA